CCGCCGCGCGCTCAAATCTCCCGCGCGGCTCCCACGCGCGCCCCGCCCCGCCCCGCTCACAGCTCCGCCGGCCGCGCAGCCTCCTCCTCCACGCTCTCGCCTTCCAGCAGCTCCAGCTCGTCCCGCCGCTCCATCCCGCGCTCGCGGACGGCCAGCCGTCGCCAGGCAAAACCCAGAGAAACCGGCTCAAGCCCGGGAAGCCCCGCCCTGAAAAAGAAGCGGGAGTTTGCGGCGCGCTGCGCGCATGCGCCGGCCGGCCGGGCAACCACGCTACCTGTAGGTTCCGCCCCGCCCCGCCCCTCCGCGCCCCTGAGCCCCACGTGAGACGCCCACCTGCACTGCGCAGGCGGACGGGGTGCCCTACCCCCGTCCTCACTCCACACTCCAGCTCCCCCCAGCGCACGCAAACTACGCAAAACAGCGTATTCCCAAAATCGGGCGTCCTTGGCTTTAGGAATTTGCATTCTCCGGGGATCAGTCTCCCCTCGCTTTCTTTGCGGCAGGGTCTCGCTAAGCAGTTCAAGCCGGCCTTCAACTTACTTACGTAGCTCGGGCTAACCTCGAACTCAAAATGATCCTCCTGCCTCCACCTCCCGGGTGCGGGGATTACTGGCATGCTCCACTAGGCCTGGATTTTTAAAGAAGAGACTGGCGGGTTTGGTGGGTTGCGCATGCCTGTAATCCCAGCACTCGGGAGGCTGAAGCAGGAGGATCGCCAGGAGTTCGAGGCCAGCCTGGGCTACATTGTTAGTTCAGGGTCAGCCTGAACTACGTATCCAGACTCCATTTTAAAACAAAATAAAATTCATTAAGAAAATAGGAACTGTCAGACTCCATTTTAAAACAAAATAAAATTCATTAAGAAAATAGGAACTGTCAGGAATTTTTTTTTTTTTTTTTCCTTTTTTGAGACAGGGTCTCGCTCTGCAGTTCAGGGTGGCCTTGTGCTCACGTTGTAGACCAGGTGGGTCTCGAAATCGCAACGATCCTCCTGCCTCAGCCTCCCGAGGGCTGGGATTATAGGCGTGCGCCACCATGCCCGCTCTGTCAGAAATTTTTTAAGCCTCGACTAAATCTACAAAACTACCAAGATCAGCCCATTTTATAACCTCTTTCCACCTTTTTTAAATAGCAAAATGTTCTTGCTACTGATGGGCAATCCCTCCACCTGCAAGCAGGATCCCAAAGTATCTGGCTTTCTCCAGGCTAGGCGCTTCCTTCCTTCTGTCCTTCTCTTCCATCCATGGCCGGATGAGCCCGTCTTGAAAAGATGTCTCTCCACGGTGGTAGAGCATCCCTTAGCCTCCTCCGCAGCACACTTACAGGGCACTGCGGGCCGCATCCGCCCTGACGTTCTTCTTCTGCAGTTCATTCCTTTTGCTCACTACACTGAGGAAAAACGTCAAGTGTACAGAAAATTTAGAACTGTCTAATAAACACCCACTTGCCCGTCACCTAGACTTTACTGTTAACATTTGCTGCCTGTGATTTGTCACATGTACACCTACCCACCCCTCTGTCTGTCTGGAAGTTCGAGTTTTTCTTGAGGTAATTCAAACGTGCAAGCATCACTATATTTCATCCCGAAATACTTTCACACGAATATCATTAACAATTCAATATTTGTTACGGTCCTCTCCAATTTTTTATGTGGCTCTTCAAATGTGCATAAAATACACAAGTCTTTGGTGGACTATTCGATGAATTTTGACAAATGTATTTGAGTAAACCAAACCTCTATAAAGATAGGTTCTCAGCTGGGCATGATGGTGAAGCCTGTAATCGCAGCACTCTGGTAGGCTGAGGCAGGATGATCTCAAATTCAAGCCCAGACCAGGCAATTTAGACCCTGTCTCAAAAAATAGCTGTGTGTGGTGGCACACACTGGTAATGCCAGCACTTCAGAGACTGAGGCAGGAGGATCACTGCAAGTTTGAGGCCAGACCAGAATCACTATGTAGTGAATTCAAGGCCAGTCTGAGCTACATTAGCAAGGCCCTGCCTCAAATAAATACATAAATAAATAGGGCTGGGTATGTTACCAGCCCAGAAAGTTTTCTCATGTCCCTGCCAGAGCAGCTCCCACCCCCAACCCCAATCATATGTAGTATTTTGTGTCAGAATTCTGTCCTTTTTTTGTCTTTTTGAGACAGGGTCTTGCTATGCAGTTCAGGCTGGCCTTGTGCTCACTTTGTAGCCCAGGCTGGCCTCGAACTCACAGCGATCCTCCTGCCACAGCCTCCTGAGTGCTGGGACTACAGGCATGCGCCACCAGGCCCAGCTGGCTTTTTTTTTTTTTTTTGTCTTTTTGAGACAGGGTCTCTCTATGCAGTTCAGGCTGGCCTTGAGCTCACTTTGTAGCCCAGGCTGGCCTCAAACTCCCAAAGATCCTCCTGCCTCAGCCGAGTGCTGGTATTACAGGTGTGTGCCACCATGCCTCTCAGGCTGTTTTTTTATATTGTGTGTCATCTTAGAGTACACACAGCACACCCAGGAAATGTAGGTAAATGAGGCAGTTACCACAAAGTGTGCATCAAAGAAATACCTGTTGTTACATGCTACTGAGGACCTAAACCAGACAATACACAGTTAATGGTCCAAGTCGCCCATAATTCTAATAAAATTCCTGGTGTACACAATATGTACCAGATAGGGTTCAGAACCCTGGTGGAGAAGGGAGCAAGATTTTGTTTTCAGTATTGGGAATTGAACCCAGGGCCTTTACACTGAGCTACATCCCCAATCCTATTTTTATTTTTTTGAGACCTGGTCTTGCTATATCACTAATGGGCCTGAATTTAGGATCCTTCTGACTCAGCCTCCCAGAGTGCTGAGATTACAGGCCTGTGCCATCATGCTTGCCTGGAGCAAGATTATATATATTTTTTAATAATATAATATATAAAACAAAAATCCACTGTTATGGCTTATATCTAGATGTCCCCCGAAGTCTCCTGTGGTCACAGGTGGCAGGACCATGGGTGCGTGGTGCTGGGGTCAAGGATGGGATGCTGGGACTGACTCACAGTGCAGTGCTAGGTTAAGGTGGGGAACCCCGGGTAAAATAGAAGGGACAGAGGTCGCTTGCCGCTTGCCACTCTGCTTCTTCACTGCTTTGCTGTCTGCTGCCATGCCGCCCTGCCTGGGAGCCACCAACTATGAAGTGAAACCTCTGTGAACTACGAGCTACAATGGACCTCTCCTCCTTTAAATTTGGTGTCAGGTATTCTTTCTCAGCAACAAGAAACTGTCACTAAGATAGCCACTCACCTCTCCAACACTTTGTAGGGCCTTGATGGAGACCTAGGGATGGTGCCTCAGTCACCAACCTGAGATCAAGACACTATCCATCTGATAAACTGTAGGGGTCAACAGACAGAAGACAGGAAAAGGGGCACAATGAAGATAAAAGAAATACTTGGCAACCTGTCAGTGGAAAATAACCTAGCAAGAATTGTGTGTATGTGTGTGTGTCCCCTACTAGGGATGGGACCCAGAGCCTCATGCATGTTAGGCAAGCATCCTACCACTAAACTTCATCCCTGGCCCTTTTATTTTGACATGGTTCGCATCAGATTGCCTGGTTTGGCCCCCAACCTATGAGCCTCCTGCCTCTGCCTCCCAAATAGCAGGAATTACAAGCAGTGCACAACATAACACCCAACACAAAATATACTTTGAGTTACCTGTCTGAAATAAATCAGATACAAATACTGTCATTATTTTATTAAATATTTAAATGTTTTGCATTTGTGCTTTGATAATATAATAAAAAGGCCGAGTGTGGTGGTGCACGCCTGTAATCCCAGCACTCAGGAGGCTGAGGCAGGAGGATCTTTGCGAGTTCAAGACCAGCCTGGGCTACAAAGTGAGCTCAAGGCCAGCCTAAACTGCATAATGAGATCCTGTCTCAAAAACAAACAAA